CATAAGTGTCTTATTTCAAACATTTTAGTCTATCCAAGTGCATGATGCCATGCAACCCAAATGGACCATGCCGGGTCGGGTCAAGTCTTACCAATTATAGTTATGGACTTAGACATTAATCCAACACTTACAAGCAACTATTACCACCAGAGCTTAGCAATGTGCACCCTGTATTTCATGTGTCCAATCTAAAGAAATGCCTATCTGACGAGACTCTCGTCATTCCACTTGATGAGATTGAAATAAACGAGAACCTCCATTTCTTCGAGGAACCCGTAGAAATAACGGACAGGGAGGTGAAACAAATGAAACAGAGTTGCATCCCTATTGTGAAGGTTCGATGGAGTGCCAAACAAGGACTTGAGTTCACCTGGGAACGTGAAGACCAGGAACACGAAGACCATATGAAGCAAAGGTATCCACATCTCTTCCTTAATTCTTGAGGGCCCACTCTAGAACTAATTTCGGGATGTAATTCCCTTTATCATGGGGATGATGTGGCAACTAGCAAAATTAGGGTCGAGATTGTATCCATGTACAAACAATTTCTCTATGTAACCTTGTTGCAATAGATTATTGTAATTCAAAAATGACAATGTTATATGAGTTCATATATATGCATACTCATAATAAAAATTTAGAAGACCAAAATAGATCAAATGCATCATACATAAATCAAAAATGGACCTTGGCTCTAAAGTTCTCGGCCAAAATAACCCCTTGACCGAAAACCCATCTAATGGAAAGCCTAGGACCAAAAACCTTATGTGAATGGAGGGTGTTTTAGGCTACCCTAAAAACCTAAAACCCTCCTCTAAGCCATGGAATTCGGTTTGGAGTGTAAGAAAAAAAGGATTGATTTTTTTACATGACACCTCACAACTTTACAATCCATTACCCTTCAAACATCCATGCCATGAAAACAACTAACTACCAAGTATCCATGAGAAACATACAACGAACCAACATGTAAAGATAAAAGAAATCACCCCCTCCTCCTTATATACTTCGGCCGAGAGTGGGTTATCCCACTCTTGCCACTTGAGTTTTGCCCACTCACTTTCCTTCTCTCTAAAAACAAAGCCACCTTCTTCAAGACTCCTCATCTCAAGGCCGAATCCTAGTGGATTTGGTAAACATTTCGTGTATCCCTTGTATTTCTAATCATTCTTATGTTAGAATCACCATGGTTACATGCATTTTCATGTGTTATTTTTCCTGGAATACCAACCTTTCCAAGAAGCTCTTCAAGATCATCATCTTCATCCTAAGCTCGAAATCTTCTTCACCATCCTTCCTACCACCCACGAAAATAACCAAGGTGAGCTTCACACCCCTATCTTTTCGAGTTTTACATGCTTTTATACAAATCAAAATACGTTTACCCTATGGATATTTGCATGCATCAACTTGTTTAAGAAGTAATATGTGCATAACATGTTGAAATCATCATATATTCATACATAAATATCGTGACTTGTAAGGTTTTACAAGTCAAAATATATTTGACTTTTGGATACATACATCTCTCATTTTTACTATTTGAAATTGGCATAACTACTCGCATAAAAATGTTGAAGTCACCATTTAATATTATAAAACTCGTGACCTATGAGAAGTACAAAACTACAAATTTTGGTAATTTTTACTAAAAATAGTTTTTCGAGTTAAAGTGGTCATATTTTTTAGTTACCACTGTCTTGGTGGGTTAAAACCCAAAAATATTATGTTTTAACAACATATATTACCACTAGACAAGATTACAACTTGATATATATATATATATATATATATATATATATATATATATATATATATATATAAATTTTATAAAAATAGTTTACATAAAAGGATACAAGACAAACTATAAATGGTATAATTTAGGTGTCATAAAGCACATGTCATAAATTTTCAATAGTATGATTTTTTCATTATACAAGAAATGGAAGTCATAGTTCACGTAAATCTGTTAATGCTCTAGTGAGACATTCTATTCATTGTACCTACCTAGCGTATACTCTAAGTCCTTCATTATAACCAAAGTCTTCGAGAGGGAGAACGAGATAGTTGTGTATAGATCTATACGGGATTGACAACCCCACATTTGAGTTGTTCGCTACAACTAGACGGGCTAGTCTAAGGTGACAAATATCTACCAATTCCGACGCCTAAAGAACGTCGTACAGGCATAACAGTCACATCAAACATGGTTATAATAACTCACATAGGGATTAACGATACTATCTTGGTTTACAAGAAGCTTACACTTCACAAGTTTTAAAAAAATAAAACTACATACTACTTTTCAATACACTATTGGTATATTTCTCGTCTTAGGGTTTAAGACTACAGTTTTCATACATCAGAAAATATTGGGTTTTCTAGGAACATACATTTTTACACTTACAATAGAAAGATACAAAGGACTTACATACATTTTAGTCTTGGTTATAAGGCTTAAAACTCATTTTATAGAAAATGTCGGATTTTCTAGAAACATACAACATTATTTTAAACAAAGTTTAAAAAACCCTTTTCATACAAAAATGCTTATGAACTCACCAATATTATTGTTGACGGTTTGGTGATTTTAACGTTGTGAGGAGGGATGAAGAACGAATTAAATCTCATTTTTGTTATGCTAGTGCCAACGGTTTTAATCAATTCATACAGGAGGCTGGTCTTGTTGACCTTTAAATGGGTGGGCATAAATACACTTTCTTTTGTCACGAAGATTTGAAGTTGAGCAAACCAGACAGATTCCTTTTCTGTACTAACTTCACGTACACCTTCCCATCGATATATGTCACGTTGCTACCACGTGAAGTGTTAGATCACTGACCCATTTTACTGGTGTAATAGACTTTGACCCTCATCCATTTCGCTTCTTTAATAGTTGGATGCTCAGGGATGGCTTCGAGACCATGGCAAGAAACGCATGGATGAGATTGAAAGGGTATGGTACTACTGATGCATATCTCTTAGCTAAGTTGAAGTTCCTAACGATCAAGATAAATAAGTGGAGGGCATCCGACTACCTTAAAGAGATGAGTGATCTTAAAAAACTAGACAAGGGTAGACGACATTGATACAATGGCTGAATCTAGGAATCTGACTGATATGGAAATACAAGAACGGAGAGATGGGATTAAGCACATAATTGATATGGAAAATATGGTTGCACTTGTTTTGAAACAGAAATCTCGAATCAAATGGGTGGTTGACGGGGACGAGAGCTCAAGATTCTTTCACGGATATGTCAATACCAAGCACCGAAAGAACCAGATTAAGGGTCTCATGATAGATGGAAATTGGAACACATATGCTAAGGCGATTAAAAAAGAGGCATTGGAGTTTTTTTGAAAATAATTTAAAGAACGATAGCCTTCACATCCTAAGATCATCAACAATAAATTCAAAAGCTTATCCCTAGATGACAGCTCAAATTTGGAGATTGCCTTTTCACGTACGAATATTAAATTGGCAGTTTAGGCATGTGGTAACGAGAAGGCACCGGGGCCGGATGGCTTTACATTTAAATTCCTTAATGAATATTGGGACATGGTTGAGGATAATATATTTTCTCTTGTAAAGCATTTTTAAAAACACGACAGTTTTGCTAGAGGATGCAACTCGTCATTCATTACTCTTGCCCCGAAAATCAAAGATCCACTCAAGTTGAGCGATTTCAGGCCGATTAGCTTGATTGGTTGTATTTATAAGATCATTTCCAAGCTCCTAGCCACAAGATTAAAGGCAGTTGGTGGAAAAATATTGACGAAGTACAATCTGCATATGTTGATGGGAGAAACATTCTAGACGGCCCGCTAGTCATGAATGAAATATGTTCGTGGGCGAAAAAGATGAAGAAAAAGGTGTTGTTATTCAAAGTCGAATTTGATAAGCCATTTGACTCCGTTAATTGGGAGTATCTTGATTCGATCCTTTGGCATATGGGATACGATATAAAATGGAGAAGATGGATTTATGGATGTCTTGCAAAGACATCCTCGAAGACATCAGTCATGGTCAACGGCTCACCAACAGATGAAGACTGCATGTGAGAAAGGTGTGTTCAAAAGGTGTTAGGAAAGGGGATCCACTACCCCCTTACTCCATGTGAATACTCCATGTGAGAAAGGCGTGTTCAAAGGTCTCAAGATCCCAAGGGTTGACTTCAACATATCTCACCTCGTCTATGCTGATGATGCGCTCTTCATGGGTGAATGGTCAAAAGAAAACATTAGAAACCTATCACATATACTTCGATGCTTTCATATCTCTTCCGGCCACAAAGTTATTTTTCATAAGTCGAAGGTATTTAGAGTTGGTGCCACAATGCATGAAACTTCATCGTGGGCTACTCCGTTAGGTTGTGAATCGGCCTTGTTACCATTTACTTACCTCGGGGTACCGGTGGGCGCTAATATGAATCGACAAAAGAATTGGACACCGGTTATTGAGAGATTCCGTTCCAAACATATTATTTCTCGCTCTTTGTTGCTCTAGCTGGTGTACTAAAGTCACTCGAGAATATTCGGAGACAATTTCTATGTGGAGGTGGTGAAAACAGAAAAAAGATCAATTGGGTCTCATGGGAAAGAGTAATTGCTTCCAAAGAGAGTGGTGGGCTTGGGGTCGATTCATTACGTGCTTCAAACTTATCTCTCATAGTCAAATGGTGGGGGAGACTCAGACTTGATTCTACAGCCCTCTGGAGCCAAGAAATTACCGGTATTCACAACTTACAATTTAAACCTGCTGAGTACTTGTCCAAAAAGTCTATCACAGAGGTCTGGAGTAATATTGCTTCTGCAAAACGAGATCTGGAGCAGTTAGATATTTCAACATGTGAGATTATCAAAAAACAAACAAATGCAGGTGATAAAACATTATTTTGGCTAGATACTTGGTTAACTGCTATGCCCTTGAAAAATGTTTATCCTAATTTAGACCACTTGGAACGTTTCAAGAAATGCACCATAAGGGACAGATTGAAAATGAGATGGACCGGACTGGGATCAGCGACCCTTATAAATTCGTCTTCACTAATCAATGATGTGGCATCCCTTAAAACTCTCATTGGTGCTTTCAATCGCACAATCCGACTATACGCCTGGACTTGTCCACTTTCATCAGATGGTTACTACACCGTGGATTTGTTCTGGGAAAGAATTAACGGACCCACGACACCATACTGGGGGGTTAAAATCAGTTGGAGCAAGGATGTACCCATAAAGGGTAACTGTTTTGTTTGGAGAGCCAACTTCAATCGTATTTCGACTGCATCAGCTCTTATTAAACAAGGGGTACGGATTAACTCTGCTCAATGTGGGCATTGTAGAAGCGGTGAGGAAGATATCGGGCATCTATTTACATGATGCATTTTTGCAACATCAGTGTGGGAGTGAATCTTCACATGGTGTCGTATTACAATGCCACAGTGGAACGAGGTCAGAGATATTCTTAATTTTGCGGCTAAGTGGGGACATTGTCCCAAACAGAGACAAATATTCACAGGTATCTGTCATAGTACTCTGTGGTGGAATTGGAAGGCAAGAAATGACAAGTTGTTTAATAACGGTTTAATCTCTCCTTCAAAGGTGGCAGATAATATCAAGACGATGGTTTTCACATGGATTAAACATAGGAGAGACAAAAATAGTTTTAATTGGATAGATTGGTGTGTTTGCCCATTTCTTTGTGTGTAATTCTATAAAATTGTACTCTTGCCTCCCCATCTAGTTTACTAGTTACTTGCTACGCGTGGGTCTATGTTATTTTAATACAATTACTTGTCGGTTCCAAAAAAATCGATGAAGGTAACATTTTAAAATGTTTAATTAATGAAACTAATTCTCTGTGGTTATCTACAATGAATGCAGAGGTTGAAGACATCATTGAGATGGAAGAATTATTCTAATCTTAATAGAGTATCAAGGTTATAAGAATTATATCACAAAATAAGCAGGAAAAAACATGATGGAAAAACAAATTGTACCGCATGTGGAGAATGTATTTTTTTTTCTAAAAATCATGTGGAAGCTGGGTTTGTCCTGTAAATAAACTCAGACGCGGGATACTCGTTGAAATATTATGAGTATGCTTTCGATTAATTCGTTTTCTGTTTTAAAAAAGAAAATAAAATAAAAAGACAAACAAATTGTGCACATCATTAATTGTTGTGCAATGTGATCAAATCAAAATATGAGTCTTGTTTATTATTGTCATATTTTACTTTTTGAATGATGTATTATAATATATTAAATTTTTAAATTTTAATATCTAGTAATATTCTAATTGTAATATCCTTTGAAAATATAATGTTTTGAAACTTACAACGTAAATAGGGGAGGTTTATTGAACATTTTAAAATGATCATATGATAAAATAGTTAAGTTTATAAAAAGCTTCTAATAATTCGTTAAAGTTATTAAAAATTTAATATAACAAAAATAATAATTCATAGTATGTATTTGAAGGATCCCCTCTCTCTCTCTATATATATATATATATTCAAAGAGATATTTCTTAGCTTTTTACCCTTCAATTTTTACTTTTTCTTTTTTTGTTTGGTGTTGGTGTCGGTGTTGTGTTTCTTCCTCTTCAACTCAACTTCCTGATCTCTCTCTCGACATCAGCCTTCCTAACACTTCCTCTTTGTCCTCTTCGATTCACAGTGATAATATTGATTCATCATCCAAATCAAATACTTTGCAACAACCTACTTACACTGACCTCTCCTTTACAAACCCATCAAGAAATCTTGCAACCAGTTTATTAGCTCAAAGAGATCAAGTGTGACATCCCCAATTTCACGGCCAGAAAAGATCGATTTGTTTATGCTTTGTTTTTATAAAATCATAGTAATCCTTTGATTAAAAGAGTTGCGGAATTTGTTCCCAAAATAAAATATGATAGAATAAAATTTATCAAAGCATTTCTTAAAAAATCTATTTTCATTAAATAACAAAATCTCGGGATGTCATGTTCCGATACAGACCAAAAGCATAAACAATATAAAATAGACCTTACAACAGTTATTTATAACTACTGATCTATAATCCAAAATCTCTCGTCAGGTCCACCAACTTATACTCTTGTGCCATTACCTGTAATGCAAAGAAAACTTAGTAGGTCAGGCTTGGGAGTCTGGTGAGCATATAGGGTTTTCAACCCACAATAATACATTTATTATATTCAATTATCAAACAATCAACCCAAATACCCATCCCCATATCTCCTTTATTTTCTCAAGGGTTTATCCTAAGAATCCACTATCCTTCATTCATTCATTCCTAAGGATTTACCTAAGGAATTGGCACAAAGTCCATTTGCTACCACGGTTTATACAATAGGTACTACGTCACATATTCACCAGGGTTCATACAATTGGCACTACGTCTCATAGTCACCAGGGTTTACACAACAGACACTACGTCGCATAGTCACCAGGGTTTACACAACGGGCACAAAGTCACATCGTCACCAAGGTTTATCAAATAGGCACGAAGTCGTATCGTCACCAAGGCTTACTCAATAGGCATGACGTCACATCGTCACCAACTATTCTATTTACCCAACATTTTTGTAAATATAAATACAAACGCAGTTTAAATCATTTAACACCCGTATAAAAATATCAATTCTAAGTCCATCTCAAATAGACAAATAATATATAACACGTAGCACGTATTTCATAGCTAATACTTTATATTTATGTGTTAGAAGAAAGTAACTATACACTCACACCAAACATATACTTAATACATTCAAACAATACTTGTATTAATATTGTGTTTATGAAAGGGACTGTACACTCACTTGATTAGACGATGCTCGGACAGCCCTACGGCTTGTAAAAGTAGTATTCTTCGGTATATCTGGAAGATCTTCGCAAAAACCGGGCTCCTCGCGGGCAGAGCTTCGGCTCTAGAATTTCACTTCTTGGGATCTTCGGGCTTCGGGACTCGCTTCGGGTCTCGGGATGATACCAGGGCTTCCGGGGTACTTCATTGCACGTAAATCGACGTACAACGGGAGAGAGAGAGAGAGAAGAGAAAATAGCAACCTTAAACGGCTGGCCCTTCAAATCTGTGTATAGGGAAAAATTGGCCCTTGCCACATCGTGGCACCATTTTCCACGTTGTGGGCTTGGTCGTCACTGCATGCGTCAACGTCCACTTGCTTTGTCAAGCTCCAGAATGCGTCAGAAGTCATGCCACGTCGTGGCCATTGTTGCCACGTCGTGGTCTCTGACACAGCTTTGGGGGTCGCGCCTCGAACTTCAGAAATTCATAATTTTCGCATATGAACTCCGTTTTCGATGTTCTTTATATTGACGCGTAGGTGAGATTATGATCTAAAACTCTCGTTTAGACTTCGTTGGCTAATTTTTGACTTTATTTTTAATATATTATAAATATATTACTTATATATTATTTTTAGTAGGCCGGGACAGGAAAACTCCGTTATAAATTCATAACCTCTTCATCCGACGTCCGTTTTCGCCTATCTTTTTATCATTTTGCTAATATTAACGAGATTTTCGTTTCTCGTTTAGATTGTTTTGGCTAAAAACCGCTCGATCTCAAATCGAGTATTCGGGTTGCATACTGCTAAGTTGAAACTTCAGAAAATCATAACTTCCTCATACGAAGTCAGATTTGGACGTTCTTTTTATGCACGCTCACGGTTTAACGTATTCAACGACTTTCGTTTAGATCGCTAAGGCTAAATATTGCTCTAACGTAAATTCACTTTTTACATCGCGCTGTGTTGTGCCGGTTTTGTAGCGAAACTTCGACAGGTCATAACTTCTTCGTTATAACTCGGATTTTGGCGTTCTTTATATGTACGGAATCCTTGTAACAGATACTAAAACTTAGTTAAGATTACTCCTTCTAAATAATCTTCTATCAAAAAGTCATTTTTGATGCTTAACGTCTCTAAATTGACTAGCCCTGATCTACGGGCGTTAAATCAAGACAACCCACATAATCCCTTCCTTCATCACCCTCATCATATCTATAATCAACACCCAAACAGTGGTAACCATCACCTTGAATCACTTGAGCCAAGGAGTTTCACTGCTTGATGTATCGGACTGCTTGAGATCCATTAAAGGGATTTCAGTATATCACAACCATCTATTTCCTTTTTTACCTAATTTGGATCATTCTAATTCTCTTGAGAAAGATGAAACCCTTTCCAGCACCAATGAAGTGGAAGCTTCTCTAAAGCTAACGAAGTCGTCGTACGTTCGGAAAACCTCGTCGAGGATAGCGTTGATTTGTTCGTCACTGAATTTTACCCTAGGGTTTACAGCGACAACAGACATCTCTTCTCTGTTGAAGCCACCATCTCTACTAAAATCAAATTGCTGAAAAATTCTTCTCACCTTCTTCGATCTATTCCATCTCATCGTTATTTTCGTGGGTTAAATTAATAAAAACGAATTTTTTTACCAAATCAAAACGGGTTGGAAGCGGTTCAAGACAGAAACAACCACAAACCAAAAAACTGGATCGGTATTTGGGATTGAAACATCGGGCATTTATAATAAAATTCTTGGAAATTACATGTGGAATCTAATTGGGTATCGAGAATTCACATTTGCGCCTCAAGTCCATCCCAAAGTTCATGTAATCATCTTGCCCTCTAAAATGGTAAAGAACATATGCCTTCATAGTTTTACAGATGAGAGAGCTAAAGAGATGTGGGACCTTGCATATTAAATATTATTATTATTATTATTATTATTATTATTATTATTTTAAAAAAAGTAATCGAAAACCTCATAAATGGTCCCTGGGTGGTGAAATGACGAAAATTCCTCCCACTTAACGGACAAATACTAACGGAGTTAACCATAAGGACCAGACATTAAAACTTTTGAAACCACAAGGACCATCTGTGAGGTTTTTTGAAATTAAAGATTAACCTTGATATTTTCAGAAACCACAGGGACCAATTTTAAAGTTTTGTTTAATTCTAATACTTTTTGCATAGGAACTTCAAAATCAAGAGGCCATCCTCTCCTCTACATAATAATAATAATAAGTTGATTTAAATGTATATAAATTTTATAAAATATTTTATTAAAGAAATCAATGTTTAATATGATAAATTGAAATTGATTTTCATTTTAAGAATGGAATTTTTACTACTCAAGGAAACAGTAAAAATTGTTTATGTGATTTGAAATTTTTAAATGGAGTAAAAAAAATAATAAATAACTTGCAAAAAAGCATTGTTTTGATTATAAATACTAGTTTATAACCGGTGGGAACCACGGTTATAAAATTAATCAAACTTTTATAGTAAAAACTCAAAACTATTAATAAGTTATTTTAAATAAATTATTAATTAAGAGATTTTT